AAGTGCAAGATAGCCTTTACCCACCTACAACAAGTGCTGATTCTCCGACCAAATGGCAACCACAAATCTGCTGGAACTGGCGGCAAGCAGCTGGCAGAGTTAAAACCATGCTAGCCTCATTGCTAGGTCCTGAGGAAAACAGGGGAGTTACAAGTTCTTGGATTGAGTGGCACTAATGTATCTTCATGTGTTAGTTGTCTTAAAATATTTTTCACTAAAGCCAGCAAAATCTATAGCGTGAAAAACCAGTTGAGAGCATTTGATTCCAAAGGAATTGCACATGATTCTCACCAGAATGAATATGTGCAAAGAAACACAGTCTTGATGCATTTTTTCTACTTTTCAATTTTCTTGTATATTCCTGAAATTAAAGACGTTGTGATTAAATAGATATAATGTCTGTGGACATGGATGCCTAAATGCGTATCCATACACATATACATAATTTATATTTATGCTTAACTACATATCTGGCTTCCTTCTGTTATCCAGATACCAATCCTGTACGCAACAAGACTCCCAGAAAAACTCTACAAGAAAAATTCTCTAAGAAAAAATATACACGAGGCATATCCAGGACTAATTTCTTTCCTGTTTTGCTCAGAGTAGGATTTCTATGCTTTTGTGAATCACGTAGAGAGTTTTCTCTTATTTACATATGTTGTTAATGTTTATTCAAGGATAAAAAAGTATGCACTTTTATTAATATTTATGCAACATCATTGAAGGTGACGGTTTACTTAAATGTTAAGGACAATTGAAAGCTTTTTATGAGCACAATCCCTTTTAAAATAGAATGCACTTATAATTATAACTTTTGTATCCAAATACAGTTAACTGACAATTCAGAAGCAATTAGTAATAAAAGCTGATTATCATATGGCTTGCATCATGTCTCTGTGTGTTTTAAATCGCCTGCTTCCTTCAGTACAATCAGTCTTCGGGGCTAATCTCTCCCACGTGAGTAATGCTATAAAATTGCCTTCACTACAGAGCAAAAGAGAAATTGTTTAAGTAAGGGTAGAGACTGTATAAATCATAAACCACTCTCTCAGATAAAGGCCATTAGGTAGGTCTGTGTACAAATTTGACACTTTGTGTCCTTGCCTTTGACAGCCGTTTGGAAAGGCTTAAATATACAAGATCTGACTAAAGCTTTCAAAAATTCATCATGGAATATTTGTTAACCTTGTTCTTCGTGATAGCTGTAGAACAAAGATAATACTCTTCAAATGGAGATAAATTACAGTCTTTCAAAAGATTATCACCAGTCTTAATCGAGTTTGCTCCTACAGCTGAACGGTCAGTGACCTTGTTACTCGCACAATAAACATACCTGCTGTTTTACGCTCACAGGGAGCAGGTTTACTCCAACCAGGCAGCTGAGAACAGCTCCACAGGTTTGTTATGGTTCTAACTTCTGCAGATAAGGCAGGAAATCCAGCTGGTTGAAGAACAATCTTTGAATTACTTAAATACCAGAATTCGTGAGACTTATTTCAATTTCTAATGGAGCTTGTGCATACAGATCAGCTGTCCTACAGACATGCTGGATGCTCAGCAGATGTAAATCGGCATGGCCCTGGAGATTTCCAGGGCATCACACACACCTACTCCACTTCAGCTGAGAGGCTGCCCAGGCAGCTGGCTGCCCTTTCCTCCAGCAACAAAGGAGCTCCGAACTGACGGTGAGGGATTCTTAACATGCAGCTATGTGCCTTTTCAACGACCTCCTTTTGGTTTTGTTTTATCTCAGCTAAGAGTACTCATACACCTCCCTATTTGACATAAACATTTCAGCACCCATTTTTCATATTATAACACATTGGCTTGACAGGAACTGCACTGCAGGGAGTTGGCACTCGAGCCAGTTATGCCCTGGCTCTCTTTCTTTGCAGAGATGTTGGGGTGGAGATTAGATTTTCATTATCTCCTAATGGCATTAAGTCCTGCACTGTATGAGTCTGGAACTGTCCATACCAGCCCACACTCAGCAGAATTGAATTAAACATCACAGGTTTAATATGCAGTTTTTGCAGAGAGAGCACTTTTTTTTTTTTCCCCCCCTATTAGCAACATGACCTTTATTGGAATCAGCACCTCTTGATGTTTCACAATGGCACAGCATGGTAAAGGATGAAGCTGGGGTGAAGGAACAGCTCTGTCTCCTCTGAAGCAGCCTGTGCACTAGTGAGCACAGCTGTGTGAGCACAGTTCAGTCAGTCCTGACATGAAAGGCAAGCCAAGGCCACTGTAAAATAAAGCATTTGGCATCACAGCCACTACATACACTGGAGCTATGACACTCTCTGCTTTCTTCTTTTTAGTTTAATAGCTCTTTGGTTTACTGAGTATTTTTTTCATACTTTAGGGGGAAAAAAAAGGCCCATTGCAAATGCTGCTGAGTGCTTCAATGTCTCAGTGACAGTGGAGGTCACTCAGCACCACACAGAATCAGGCCATTAGCAAAGACATCCTATCAAAAACTGAAGAAAAACTCCAAAATACTACCACCCAAAAAAATTTAAAAATAAAAAAATTAACATTTCTTAAAATTGCAGACAAATAAATAATAATATTTTGCTCTCACCCTAGAATTTCAGAAAGTATTTCAAGGACAATAAAAATAATAATAAAAATAAAAATTGGCTATTGATGATGAACCTTCATAAAAAACCAAAATCATGTTTTTGCTGTTTGATATTCCTCTGCCCTCTTTCATATCTGATTGGTCTCCTCATTCTCATGATTTCTTTTGCTTCTGTAATTATTAAACTGTCCCTACAATTTTTCCTTATAAACTTCTACCGCAGGCTTTGGATAAAAGAAATAAAAATTCTTTGAGGCCTTTCACTCACCCTGCTGCTACATGAGTTGATTATCCCAGGAAATGGTTAATGGTGCTAAGTGTTTTTATACACTACAGCAAACCCCAGGATTTGACTGTTGCTTTTGTAAGTGAGCTCATATGATTTTATTTTTTTAGGGGAGAGGAAAGAGTCTGTTTTAATCATATGGCTATGAACTGAGCTTCATTTTCTAAGAAAACAGCACATGAGACTTCCTTCACAAAAACAACAATAAAACCTTAGATCCACAGGGTGGGTTTTTGTGGGTTTGACACAAAATTATTTTGCACAACCTCAAAATTATGCTTACAAGGCACAAATAAGACAAAGCTAAGCAGATTCCAGTATTTATCTTTTTTTAGCTATGCCTTTGGGTCAGCTAGATTGTGCTTTATGAAGAGATAGCTGTGAATATCTCTGCACCCTCCTTCCCTTGCTTGCTCTGTAAAACAGCCTAGGGCCTTTGGCAGGACCGCTGTATTTACAGAGGTCACCATTACTTGACTTGTTTTGGTTTGTGATTACCAGCACACCACACCAAGCTCTCTGGCTCTGAGGATTGCACTGGGCTGCATGGCACCCATGCAGGCACAATAACTTCACGCCACCAAGGTACGACGAGCCATGGCATCAGCTGTCACAGGCATCTTTTCATTAAAATCCTTTCGTTAGGATTTTTCCTGCTGAAGCTGAGAAGCTTCAGCAACAAAGTGTAAGCAATGGTTATCTGCTGCTGTGGAATGCAACAGGTGGATCCGTGATTGATCTCCTGTGGATGTTCGGATTTACTCACCACTCACGGCAGAGCTGCTCTCGCTTTCTGCCGGGACACAGACCTTTGTTATTCATTCTTTTCTATTCTTAGCTTAGCTAGCCTTCTGAGAACTTTCCTTCTATTCCTTTCAGTATAGTTATAATGTAGTATATATATCATAAAATAATAAATCAAGCCTTCTGAACACGAGGTTAACATTCTCTCCTCTCTCTTCACCCTACAACCCTTGTGACCACTGTCACACATCAGCCACAGACCTCTTGTTCAGTTGCTTCCCCGAGCTCACAGCCACATTGCCCAGGGTAAAAATCACTCACCTGCAACACTCTGGCCCGGGAGCTGCAGTGGAGTCAAGTGCACCATCCAGAGCTAGCCTTGGCCGACCCTTTCAGCCCAGTGACAACCTCTGATGCGCTACTTGAGGGCTACGAGGTTGTCTTGACACAGGGCTTCTGAGGGCATCTTTGTTGTGGATTTTGGCTAGTATATTTAGCCTGGTGAGGCACGTTAACACTTAGGTGAGTTTGTGCAAACAGGAACTTTCAGACCATAGGCTAACAAACACAAATTCTGGAGGGATCTAGGGGCACATACACTCTGTACTTATGCATCCAAATCAGCTCTCCTGACTGCTCTTTTACTCACAATGGTCTTGTGAAATTAGGCCACTTAATTTTACAGAGTAAAAAAAGCTGAGTGTTTTAAATTTTCAGCTGAAAACCTTCAATTTGAAGAGAGACCTCACATTAGCAAGGAGCTGCTAGAGAAGAAAGCTTTGTTTTCTTTGGAGAAATAACTCTGAGGACTTCATCAGAGTGCATCCGGGCACTATGATAGCACACTATTAAATACTAGTGGATAAACTAGCTGAGGGAGACAAAAGAAATTTTGAAATCTTGTGTAGTGGTGAGACTTTTATTATGCTGCACATCTATTGCTTGTGACACCTGAGTTTCTGCAGGTTGCCAAACAGTACATTCTCTTAATCAGTAACCATAATAGTGCTATTTGTTTGCACTCCCATGTAAGAAATTAAAATGGAGACTAGAATTGTCTTTGATCTCCTTTACTCTTTTCCTGCAATTTATTCTCCCATTGTTATTCTGTATTAAAGGCTTGCCACCTTGCTACAGCAAAGTATTTTGGGGCAGGTCATACACATGAAGGGTAGAACTCGGTGCTTTTTTGTCACCCATAATCCCAACAGAGCAGGTGATGGCCCAGCCTTCCAGTTCCTGCCACTTTCTGGACAAGAACTTCCACCACAAAATACAGGCTGAGCACTCTGATTGTTTTGAAGAGTCAGAAATACATTGCCCATGTAAGTGTGTATGTTCTCTAAAAAAAGACTAAGCGTGTGACTTTGATATTTGCAGGTGGGGAATTATGTAATTGTCAGGAGACAACTGCATGCAGCAAGACTGATCCCCTCTCAGCTATGGCAACTCACAACAGGTTAGACAAGCTACCACATGCAAGGTTTTTCTGTATGATTGCACATTTGACCTTCCAAATTCTAGCCTGAAATGTCAGTGATAAATATTTTTGTTTGTTATACAACTCTAGCAATGTAATTGTTTTTACTACTACTCTTCATTTTTATTATTCTATGTGGTTAACCCCAGGATTCTAGAGGAACCTTTGTTTGTTGTATTACACATGTTAATTTTGCTTATTCTGCACATTTTTCCCTTTGCATGACCCAAAAATAAGGCACAGTGAATCTGTGGCAAGTAGCCACAGTTAAGAAAGAGTCTAGGGCTCCACAGAGTTGTTTGTTCAAAGGACAGCCAGGACAGAATTGGTTTGCAGAGTTTTTTGTTTGACAAGAAAGCATTCTTTTACAGATGCATTCTAGAAACCCGGACTGCAATTTGTCTCGTGGAGAATGCTTGCTTGCTTCTCTGTTTGTTGGTTTTGCTTCCTTCTTTACTGCTGCCTTCATCTGTTCATTTCTTTCCTTGCCGTGTGTCTTCTGCTACCTGTTCCTCCTTCCTGTTGGGAGAATGGGAGAAAACATCCTTTTCTTCACTGATCTTTTCATACTAGGACATCTGGACCACACTAGTTTTTGTGTAGCATTAAAGTGGTTAAATCAAAAATGAGCTGGAACATGACAGGAGTTATGTACAAATGTTATAGATAAGCCCTAGAACTTGGATAATATTTATTACAATTGTCTACTGTCACAAGCTGCTTTAGGCCTTTCCCAGTCCTTCCAAAAGTCTGCAAAGCAAAATAAAATTATGTCACTGCATTTGTGGCAAAACTTGACTACTGTTCATGGGTTTTTTCTTGAAGAGTACTAAAAAAATAAAATGACCATAACAAGGACAATCGGCAGTTAACATATCTAGCTAGACACAATTTTACATGAAGATGTACAAGATGTTGAAGACACACCTTCAACATTCCCTGAATCCTCGCAAGTGCAAATGATAAATCATTTACCTAAGTAGCCAATAAAATTGGAATGCTTGATCAGAAATCTCAATTTACATCTATAACACAAGAATTCCCATAGGATTTTGAGCATGGACTATTTATAGCAAATGCATGAATTGCATTTGGGATAGCCTCAATGCCATGCTATATAAAACCTCCATATACTCAATACGGTGATTTACCCAAAAAGTTTTTCCTGGGAAAATATTAACATTAGGGCTTCCTTTCTTCCACCAGCGTCAGCGGTGTTCACTCCTACCTGCATTTGCTTATATGCAACTATTTTAAATGTTGCAGAAGAGAACACAGTTCTAATATCAAAGAGAACTTGTCTCCTACTTTGGTGCTACTGCAGTGTCATATTAACACACTTCCCAAGTGAAATATACATTTTTATAACTGTGACTACCATTCTAAGATCAACAGGTCAAGCATTTTATCAACAGAGTGACAATGGAATATCAGTAGAATCTAATTCCCCAAGGTGGAAGAATTTAAGCTCAGTATTCTTTCTATATCGTGCTGTATTTCTACAAAAAGCCTAAACGGGAATGTTGGACTTCAGTGGGTAAGTCAGCCTACTTAAGTACCTGCTTTGCCAGGCAGAACCTAATTTTCTCTGTTAGTTTGGTAAGGAATAGCCTTCCAAAACTAAGTGCTTTAATTCAGGGGTTTTTTTCCAAATTTTATCACGCCGCCCCTTCCTCAGATTACTTAGGGCCAGATTTTCCTAACAGCTCTGGCCACACCAGACCACTTTAAGTTGGCCAGGGTTCTAGAGAGGGTTCCTTGAGTGAGCTGCATCCAGCGTGTGCCTCTGCATGGCCTGGGGGGATCCAGGCACACCCCAAGGGGCGCAGCACAGCCAGCACGCACAGTGCTGGAGTTGCCATCCCAGCCAGGGGGACACAGCATCCTTGCTCAGGGGAAAAGTCTCCAGACTGGACCCTCCCCCTGTGGAAGGCCATCTGAAACCTTTCCTTTGAGGATCATTCCTTTAAATATGAAGTGTAAAACTTGCACAGAAAATAATCTCATCTGGGGTCTCTCCAGCCTGAGGGAAATTAAGCCATCACCTCAGTCTTCTTTTTCGCTACCCAAATTGCCAAATTATAGGGCATTTATGGTCTAAGGTGCTCATAAGTTTTTTTTGCTGCAGCTATTTCATTTAAAATAAAATACTATAAGATTACCAGGACTACAAAGTGGGAACAGGTTGTCTAGAATTTTTTTTTTATTCTTTCTTCTAAGTGCTGTGCATATAGGCATGGAAAGGGACAAAGATAGACACAACACATCTTATTAAACAGACAACTTTGCTATATTAGTCCACAAAGGCAGAGCTAGAAGACAGTGAGACTGCATAAGGACATGGAATACTAATGTTAAAAAGGAGAAATACAAACATGCAAAGCTAATTACAATTGATGAGAGTACCATGAAGCATTGGAAGATGTTTAGTCAGAAAGAAAGGAGGACAAAGAAAAAGCAGGAAACTGAAAAGAATGCAGACAAGCAAAGCTACAAAGGCTAAAAGCTGTAAACAGCAAGTAAGGCACTAAAGAGGAGAGCAATTAAAACATTCATGAAAATAATATCAGGCCATTAGTGATTTCACTGTTAAAATAAGGATTGCCTTTGTCTGATAAAATGAGGCTTACATCCACTTATTAAGCAAAAGAGCCAATGTGGATCATAATGAAAATTACACCAGCTACTTTGTGGATAATGATTCAGTTTTTTCAAAAGTTACAAGAAAATTATTAAAGAAAATTGAAGAAATACTTTTTCACTCAGTCATTGTTAAAACTCGCATGAAGAAATCATCCTGGAGTTTCTTTTCTTGTCTTTCTGTCTCTTATATATTGAAAGGGGAGGGAAACTACCATTCCAAGTCCTTAGACTGAAAGCATCCATCATAGACATGTCTGTCTATGATGCCATTGAATCCAGGAGGTGAGGAAATCATGCTACAAGCTTGAATTTCTAAATGAGCAGACCAAGCACTTTATTTGGTGTATTTTCAATTCTACTTTTCCTCATGAGCAAAGCACAGAAAATTTGAAGATGGCAGTTACACTCGGACATTAATTGCTGTTTCAATTGCTTCTTGTTCAAGATGTCTCAATAATAGTCCTGTAAACCACAGTGTGGAACAAAAATTAAATTCGGACATCTTATTGGAAAAAAAATGGAGCAAATCAACATAATAAATTCTATTGCAGTGTTTTTAATCTCAAGAAATGCTTTAAAGAACCACTGAGACTTTGTCCAGATGATGTCTCCAGCATAAATTTGTTTTTTAAAAAGAAAAATCCCCCAAATATTTTTAACTAGCTTAATTATTGTTAATTATTTACATTTATATTAAAATAAGTTAGCTAATAATGAAAACACCTAACTAATAAATAAAAAATTTAAAATAGTTATATCAAAATATGACCTACAAATAAACAGTAAAATAAGATATATTAGTATTTATATCAATTTTATCTTTGCATTATTCATTCATTGGCTTAGGGATTAGACTAATGTCCATTGAGCCTGAGAAAAATCTCCCCCTCACATTCTGGAAAGCTCAGGATTCAATGCCCAGCAGGATACTCTTGCCTGACATCCAAGTCACACTTTTGAGGAGCCATGCTGAGAGGCACCTCCGGCCTTTGCACATAAAAAGTGAATTATATTATTCCTGGATATTATAAAGTCTTCAGAGGGATTTCATTTGGGACCAAAGAATGCTGACTGAGAGAATCCAGGACAAAGAAGAAGCTGCAGAAGTTTCAGGAAGCATATAAGGAGTCGCTGAAAAGACTTTAGCATCCTTGCTCACACCCTCTGAGGCATTTGCATGCCTACATTTATTGGGAAAATAATAATAATGTCTGTTCTCATGCATATATGGTGTTCATTTGGACTACCCTTTCACAGCTTTTTCATTTTCCTGAAGATTTTGCTGATTCACTGCTTTTATTTCTAATAAATTAAAATATTTTGCCCTGACAGATATTTGAGATAACTGCATTCTGTCGTATAAGAACCGGGCTGTCACTTATTTCTGTGGACTTCCTAGTATCCTAGTATCCCTAATAGCTCCTGCAGAACTCATAAAAATCTTTTATTCTGTAATTTGGGGGAAACAACAATATATGTAAATCTATTTTTGAAAGGTCATAACTGTCTATTAAACTGCACAGCACCACCAGAGAAAATTAATTACAACTTTCCTTGATACGCCACTCGTGAATTAATTGATTTAAAATGTATATTGCTTTTCATCAAACAGCCTTTAATAAACAGAAATCTTACAAAATATGATGGGACACATTATGCAGATTTTCCCTACATGTATTTTCTTCTAGGTTTTCACGGCACTTTTCCTCAGCAGTTCTCAATGCTCTTCATCCCAGAGGTAACCACTGCTTCTTTTACAGCAATAAATCTGAAGGCAATTTTTTCATCGAAATTTTGGAAATGTCCTCTAAATAGTAATGCTCAGCTTTTGGTTTTTTGTTGGTTTTTTTTAGTTATTAATGTTATTATGGTGCAATTTTCTGCTTGTGTGAAAGTACAAGCAAGCTGCCAAGGACAGATGGAGGGAAGAACATCTCAGCTTGTTTCACCCTCAAACATGCAATCCAATTACAAGCTGTAGTACATGCAGGTTACCCTGTCTTTTAACTTCAGTGAGGCAAACACGAGAAGACACGAAGCTGCGACTTGAAGCACTGAAATAAATGTTGTGACAGCAGAAGCTGGGCCATTTTCTGCTTCAGTCTGTACGGCAAAGGCGGCGCTTTGCCTGCCGACAGTGCGCAGGTGAAACGGCAGAGAAGGATCAGTGTGAGCATTTGCTGTTCGTTACAGCGCTTCCAGATGTGTGTTCTCAGAAACTGCATCTTCTCCCATGTGATCAGAGGTCAGGAATCCCTTCGAGCAACATCACCGGGAACCAGCGCTGGCAGCCGGCACTGTTAAGGCAAGGCTTGATGGAATTCATGGAGATTAGGATACTGTTGGAATGACATTGCTGGAGATTGAGGGATTGCCCACACTGAGATGTTTTGGAGTCATCCTCAAGGAGAATTTCACCTCCTAGTTTTCTATAGTTGTCATAGTCAGGTAACAATCAACCTGAAAGGAAATAATTTTGGCTCCAGGAGCAGTTTCTGTCAATAAAAGTCTTGACTTTGCGGAAGTTTAGCCCACTAGTTTAATCCACGTTCCACACTGTACATTCATTCCTCTTTGGGGCATGCCACAAAGTCTTTCATATCTTTTGTAGGTATTTAGCAAGTCTGCAAGTTGGTAAAAGAATGAGTTGAAGATTACAGGAGACTTTGCTGATTTTTTTATGATGTGCTATTGCCAGACCTCCTTCAGGAGTCTGTGAGAATCTGTTAACAGGAAAATTCATAATAGGCAATCCAATGAATAAGGGGTTTTACTGGGAAATACTACATTTTCCGATTGAGTATTAAGTTTTAGAGGATTCCAAGAAGTCTGGAGAGTTACCAGAAAATAAAATAAAATGGAATTAAATAAATAATTCCAATCAGTAAGAGATGAAAGTACAAAACAAGGTAAAGTCTGGATTGAAACATTTAACATTGTTTAAAGAGCTCCATCACTAACTCTTCCCTTCACAGGCTTATTCCTATAGCAAATATTTTTTTAAATATTTCTTTCCATGTGTCATTGCCATATGTTTTATATTGCTTAGTTTTCCATAAACAGAGCACATACACACATTTTACAGACTATTGATCTTTTTCCTGTTCTGAATGATGCTGATGGGAGTTTTTTCCCCTGACTTTTATGGGAAAGTTTTTGGGTTTTTTGTTTTTGATTTGCTGTTTTTTGTGGGTTTTTTTAGATACTGAACTATACAATGTGCTGTTGGGGAGTTTGGTTCTTTTCTAAGCTATTCTTATTGTGACTAAGTAGTGTCTAACAGACTTTCCTGTTTGGAACAAATACTTCTGTCAGTCAGCTATCCCAAATGCTCATTTCATTAAATGAGGTCTGCCCAGAGCTCTGCTGCAGTCGCTGAGGCCAGCTGGGGCACCTCACCCTTTCTTGGCTAGTACACATCAAGGCCTTGCTCATCATCTCTTCACGCACTGAGAGCACCAGTTTGAACATTTACACTTTTACCATGAGACACATAAAGCAGGAAAACTACATCTCATAAGGCATGCGGCTAAGCGAGGCGAATCACAGCCATGAATGTATCTCTGAGCAGCTCTAATGCTGTTGTCAGACACGCTTAGCCAATTAACCATTGGATTTTGTTTGCTGTAATGTCAGCTTCCCTTAAGTAGAGAAGAGTTGAGGGAAGAGATCACAGAAGTATGTCAGGAGGTTAAAGCCGTGCCATGAGGTCCATATGCCGCTCCTGCTGCTGCAGAGGTCCCTGCCTTCTCAGCTGCTGGCTGATCCTCTCCAGACCGGTGTCACCTTGCAGACAGAGCCACCACAAGCGCTTATGTGCTGTGCCGTGAGCTGGGATCAGGAAACCGATACAGCTCAGAGACAGCCCTTGTCTGTCTCCGCGTGTTTCAGATGGATCAGTTGCCTTATCTGCTTTTAGTCTCTGCTTCACAAGTGCTGCTTCTGGCAGGCTGCTGGTCAGCACTCTGGAGGGAATGGGAACTTGAGGTGTGCATGGGAATAGCTGTGATTTTGGCAGTGCCGCCAGTTTACAGGTGCCCAGTCCTGCAGCCTAAGATTGTCAATAAATTATGAGGCTTCATGACACAAGGGTTCCATGGATTCTTTTGTCTTATAAATTAGACATGACTGAAAAAGTCTGTATAGTACTGGTACAGAACTTATAAATAAACTAGGAATGGAAACACACATGCAATGCAGACTTAGCAATAATTTACCAGAGCTGCATTTTTCTCCTTTCTGTGTCTGTTCACAACATTAAGTCATTCAGTTAAGCCCTCTCTTTATTAAAGTAATCTCTTCTTATTTGTACAGGATGGCCTTTTCTTATGACCTATTTTAATGATAGAAACAATATACAATAAAGATCATATATGGATCCTTTGTCAAGGTTATCCCAGGTAACGCAGAGGTGAGCAATCAATATATCTGTTCAACAGAGAAAATATTCATCATGTATATTTCTACTAATTCACAAAAAAGTTATCATGGTAAGGAAACACTAGAAAGGGAAAACTGATGCATATTGTCATATTCTCAAAGGACTGTGTGCAATTAGTAGAGCAGTAATGAGAAGGTTAACATTTATATTCCTGTATCTTTCTCCACGCAGACAATCTTGCTGATTATAATTGGAGGATTGTTACCAGAGGAACATTTTTACAAATGCCTTATTTCCCATGACCTGTCCAGGAAAGACCAGTAAAGTTCATTTGTACGTAAGGAAAGGGAAAAGAACAGAATTTTCCATTACAATACCATCCTAAATCTTCCTTTTAGGGCCATGTCTTTCACAGTGATACACCATGATGATACACATTACAGAATTCTCACTTTATAATTATTCTTCTAGCAAATGGCAGCCACTGGAAAACAAACAAACAAACAACCCAACCAAACAAACAGAGAGCAGCACCACCCAAGGTTGCAAAAGCTTATGTGAATCATTTGAATAGCATTTGTCTCTAGCAGATATCACCGCAATGAAAGAAAACATGGTGCCAACTCATACAACTCATTTTAACCGCTGTTCCCAATGGGTCAAATGTTGACATGGCCAGGGAGACGTCAGAGCTGGTAGGGCTAGAGCAGTGCAGTCCACTGGGGTGTGAACAGCTTCCACCATCTAAACAAATCCCAATTTCATGTTGATACAGCTGCTCTTGAATCCTCAGTTTGTTTTACCTTAGTGAGGTCTAAGTTTTAGGACCTTGCCTTGAGCAATGCTCTGTTTACATGTGATTTTTAGGTGTTGGCTGCTAATTGTACTATACTTGAAGAGACCTGAACTCAAAAGATCTTGAAAAAAATTTTATGTCTCTTTTCGTCCTGCCATACAACAGTAATACCACTAAAAAAAAAAAAAAAGAGTCCTGTTGCTTGTCATGGTTGATAAAATAAATATGTTTTTCAATCCGTTAGTGATATAGTGCTTTCAGCAGAGGAGTGAATAATACCAGGTGTTCTGTGGGATAGAGACATTGTACTCACATTTCGTTTCATAGGAAACCATGGAATAAAGCCATGTTTGCACTCTATAGCTGGAAACAAAGGAGGGTATACTCTTGAACTGGCTGCCTTCAGTGTGAAATGTGGAATGAGAATGGCTTTGTTTACTGTGAGGAATGTCACTACCAAGTTTCTTAATCCTTTGTCAACACTGAGCTAATTCAGCTTTCATAAAGACAGGGTAGGGCAATGAGTAAATGGATCAGTTACATTCTTCTACTATCGCACTACATTAACATTAGAGTTTACAGGTCGCTCTGCTGAAAGGACTGTCTAAAATTTATGTTTCACAGGGATTTTTTTGGCTAAATCGTTGTCAGACTTTATTCTATGCTATGCTTTAGGAATACAAACAAACAACAGGAGATATCTGTGAAACAAACATGATAATTTTGCAGTGATCTCAGCTGTGCAGTAATAGCAATTAAAAGCTAAAATACCTCAATGGTCACTACAATTAATGCCATTAAAGTAATTAGGCTCAGCAGCTGTAGGGTCAAATAAAGATAGCTCTGTAAATGACAATATGGCAAATGAAAATTACTGACATTTTCATCTAAATTATATTCCGTAAATTATCTTCTTAACACTAAATAAATAAAGCCATGATAATTCAAAGACAGATTACAGACGGAAACTAGCATAACTACTTGTTCCAGAGTTGGCTAGTGTTAAAATTTAAATGTAATTAATAGCCTTTACTCGCTGCCTCTGGTTATACATGGTGTTTCTCATTTACATTCCTTTGCAAGATGCTGACAGCACTAAACATCTGAGAAGAAAGATCTCATCCACCGGAGGAAAATGGTTCTTCGTGTTATAGCGCTGATAATGGACATGGCTGCTGCACTGTTCTAATAATAATGACCAGGAAAAGGAATGTGGGAGAGGGAGGCTCCGCGCTGTTTTCTTTTCAGTTCTGTGTTCCAAGCCTTTCCTGGAGTCAACGTGAAATGTAATTGCTCTTTTGACCTCTATCTTCTCTCTCCCCAGGTCCGAGGAAGAGCTACACTGGTTGATTATTGCAGGAATGAAAGGCGCTCTGACCTTGCCGACCGAACGCCTTGCTGCTTTCAGTGCTGCCCATTATGCGGGAGGCAGGCGCTCCCGGAGAGGGGCCGGAGCCCGCGGGAGCGGAGCGCGGCTCGGCGGGCAGGCCGCCAGCCGGGACACCCGGGGAGCCGGCCGCGGCAGCGAGAGCGGGGGGCGGCACCGAAACGTCGCCAGCACACGCTACAGAGAGCTCTCAGACGCCGATCACAGGTTGCTCCTTCGTTAGTAAGGCTTTACATCACCCACCTGAAATAAAAAAAAAAAAAAAAAAAAAAAAAAAAGGAGCCGGGGCGCGAGGGAGAAAGAGGACTACAGCGGTAGTGTTTTCGCGGTGGAATGGCGGAATGTGGCGGTCATTAATTTTTTTAAAAAAATAAATAAATTAATTAAAAAGCCAACAAGCCAAACAAAAAAACCAAAAAAAAAACAAAAAAAAAAAACCAAAAAACCAAAACAAAACAACAACAACAAAAAAAAAAAACCAACCAAAAAAAAAACCTGAGCCCAAACCCGCATTTTCCGCATTTTTAAAAAGGGTGGACAGATTGTTGCTGTATAAGGATCCATTGAAAATACTCCTCCAAGGAAAATGGGTCAAATATTCAGTTGCTATAACTATGCTAAATTGGAAAATATTCACCATAAAATCTTCCATAGAATATTTCTGGAGTTGTAAAAGGCTGGAAAACGTACTAAATGCTATGTTTGACGGATTCTCTTTTCATGTGTGCGTGTTTTTATATTTGAGAAACATACATTTCAGAAAACCAAAACCTCAGAATTCACAGCAGTAATAAGACATTAGTTGAAATTATTTCCTATTACTCTGACTGTAGCTTTCATTGCCCTAAGCCAGCTCCAATGACTGGCTGAATGACGTTTGTAACTTGACCCAAAGATAATACCGAGACCCAGGTGGAGCTCTTGAAGGGCACTGATAGTTTGAAGACAGCTCATTTTAATTGAAGCTGCCCAAAAAGATGTTTAAATAACATGGGCATTTCATTTAGAAGCTGAGTTTATCTCAGCAGGGTCACGAGTATTTCAATGTCATCATGACTTGAATACATGTGTCTCTAGTGACTCATACAGAATGAATTGGCGCTCTTTTGTTTGGTGGGTTTTGCTTTCTCTTTTGTCTCAGTCATTTATGCCTACCACAGAAAAACTCAACCAAAATACATGCAAGAAACCCACATGTTGTCTCCCCGGGCTGATGCAAGGACAGGGTGACTGCTAGACTGCTCTAATGGTCTAAGCTAATGCTGCACTCTCGCCTTCGAGGCACTGCCTTGCAATGACAAACAGAGACCACATCATGGATCCAGCGTCCATGCTGCACATTCCCCAGCCCTGCCAGCTCTCCGTGTGTCCTGCCAGGCTGTGGGCAGTGGTGATGGCTGCTCTTTGTGGCAGCAGGGCCAAAATATGCTGGCAATCCCTGCACTGCCCCTTGCCATTTCCCATCTCTAATCTAGAAAGCAAGGCACACACTGTGTCTTCACAGGCACTTTCTGCCTTGAAAGGGTGGTCTTATCAGATCACTGCTGCTCAGAAAATGAAGCTCTGCACCACACTGATGCTGTGCTGCTGACCAAGAAGCCTGGAGGAAGAAAGCCAAATAAACTGGTTAAAACTTATGACCAGAACTCAAAATATAGTTTCGTCATTGCTTGGGCCAGAATGTTTGGACCAGCAAGGGAGAATCTATCAAAAGTCTTTGTATATTGTAAAGATAGTTAATGACTTTTCTTTTTAGAAGGAATGCTGCCCATCAAGATGGCACTGAGGCGATCTGAGTTTATCTAAGTTTATCACCAATACATTCCATGCAGTTATATCTCTAATGGAGCTCCATATAATCAAATTCCTGATTCATTACTGGAATTTGTGACTATGACCAAAACTCTCATTCAGCTTCTCTGTGATAAATAAAACTGGCTGCACACCTCAAAACTTTCACAATGAGGCTTGTTCCCCAGTCTTTCAATTTCTCTTCTAATTCTTTCTGCATTTTCTCTGGAATATCAACAGCTTACTTGAACAGAATGCTCCTATACAAACTATCCTACTAAAAATATTTTGAACCTTATTTGAGAATCACCCAGCCTTGTTATTCAGTTGCCTATTCCCCATGGGCCTCCACTCATTTTCAGAGCTGCTGAAGTCCTCTACCCTGAAATACTGGCTTCTATTATTTGCTCTGAACTGAATTGCTATATGGTAGGTCTGGTTCTTTTCTCCTTCCTTTTGTTGGAAAAAGAATAGCCATAGTGTTGTGTGAAAATGAAATAAGCCATGCTTTAAAACACTATGTGTAAAGAACCTGAGTGAGCAAATACAGGGGATCCTTTCATGCAGTTACCATACTTTCAATAGTTTTTCCATTGAATAAATACAGATTATATTCTGTATTTATATTGTTATATTAACACTTTACCTTATAGAAAAAGGGCATTCATATTGAATACTGTTTGTGCTATTAATTTTATTAATGCCCTGTGCATTTTAAGAAGCAGTTGCCAGGATTAGTGAGAGAAATGGGAGCATATTGTACAGGCAGAATTGACATAGCAACAACAATGAAGCCAGGTGACTAGGAGTCTAACACACAAATGACAGTAAATATATTTTCTTCAACACACTGAGGAGCTAAGTGAGTTTTTTCCCCATTCTTTACAGAGTTCAAATCCCTGGCAAACAGCTTGCTGCAGCTCAAGGTATTTTGTTTGGAGAAATCTGAAAAGGTTAAGCCAACTAACACCATGAAACAAATGGATCAGAAGTATTTGAGCTCTGGAAAGTCAAAGTATTAAATAAATTGTAAGTTCATACTGTGCCAGTTCTTTGTTTTCATTGTTTTAATTTGAAAGATGAAGCAAAATACAACTACATTAGATAAAAACATAACAAAATAAAAAGGTATGAGTAACGTGACATGACATATATAAAATAGTAAATGATTGTTTTTGCTCAGTCAGTTTACGTAGAACCTCAGCAAACCAGCTTATTTTTCCTGAAAGCAGTTCAAAGAACACAAGCTGCCATTTGTACCCTGTGTTTTTTGCATCTTCCATGCTTGCTACCTAAATGCTTTGTATTGCAGGTACAAAATAGGAGTTCTGACTGTGCACCCGACAACATATTCCATGGATTTTGGCTGTCTCAATGGGTGCAGTTCTCCACAGTACAAGTATCTGCATAACACAAATGGCTTATGAACATATAGGCCTGCATGTACCTTCAAAACTGAATATTCGGTTTGCAGTGCTTTCCACACTTTGGCTTGAGGCACAGATCCTTGTTTTGCCTGCAAATCAGGCATGGTAGGTACTCAGCCTAGGAATACATGCCACAGCACATGCTCTTGTGTCCACCTGGATCTTCACCCTATTGAAAAATAATAGTAAGTGTAATCTTTCTAAAATATGGTGGCATATTCACCATGAAATCACTGGTAGACTGAAAAAAAAAATATATAAAAATTACCTAGTATAACTCTAAAAACAACTTAAGCAAGACTTTGTTTTGGTCCAAAAATAAAAACTGAATAATAGTAAAATTGAAAAGGTACAAGTAATTTTCCAGTGTGTTCGTGCATTTTGGTCTCTAGTCTATTTGGAATTAGCTTTAAACTTTTTTGAGAGGTTTATTCTACTGTTTTAATTGCCACTTTTCTTATACGTATGACACTTTCTATGCTTAAAGCTCAAAAGAAGGGGTGTTAGTGAACTTCATAAAGATGACCAGAGTGAAATCCCTGAAAAATACATTAAAATGTTGATTCTTGTCCTATCTGCCAGACCCTGCAAGATGCCAGAGTTTTACTGTTGTCATTGATCTGATCTGGGAGGGATGACAAACCCCTGGAAAAATCATGCACCACTGAGGCCCAAGTGCATCTACGGGTTCAACAGCCAGGCTTGATGCAAACGAGAAACCTAATTCTTGCTCTTTGCTTTATTTTAAAGGTTGGAATGTGGCATTTCAAAGACATAATGTCAGATAAGAAAAAGTGTGAATGTTAAGGGTTTACTGAATATCAGATTTCATCCAAGGAAATGAGAAAGACATAATTTCTGCAATATTTGCTAGATTATGGCTTTTATTTTCGTAGGAAGGGTGGCAGCTCCTTGTCAGCAGACGGGTAGGAGTACAAGTAGCTTCCTTGTGTTCAGTATCAGCAACTCCTGTTTAATTTGCATTTGAGGGAGTTTTTTCCATAGCGTATTCATTTGCCAGTGAGTTAATACATCCCTGCATAATCAGATAAGAATGGAATAGAATTACTAATGATAAGAGGAGGTGGAATAAGGGCATGCCAGTAGAGCAGCCTTTCCTACACCCACTTAATCTGCGTAGGTCATAATTTCAGCTATCTCAAGTTTAGGTTAGCCTTATTTCTATTCCCAAGGTAGGAAGGCTTGTTGCTTGATGTTTGTTTTTACGGTTTTTTCCCCCCCTCAAAGGTGATTTTAGAAAATTAAATGTTGTGGGTTGGCTGTGACAGCTACTACTTCATTCTGTGAAGGTGGAGAATACAGAAGTTATACTTGCAGCTAGAAAAATACACCACTTACCTCCTAAACCAAATAGAAGAGCAAACTAATAAAAGCAGAGTGAAAAATATTCTCTGTGAAGCATGAAGAGGGATGCAGGGACCAGCAAAAGGCTGCAACATGAAGCTGCAGCATATTACAAAACCCCACGAATTTACCACCAGCAAATTCATCCTTACTAGTGCGTCTTGTACAAAGCAGTAGTACAAACACCCCGGAGTTTTGTATTGCATTATTGCTTCTAAGCTTCTGTAACTCCGCATAGATTATCCCTTCTAGCTGAAATACTTTGTAATGTAGATGAAGGTCCTTTTGAATCAAAGAGAGACAGGTGTTAATGGCCAAGATGCAGGAGGCCCAATTTTAAACTCATGTATGATATAATTTCATTTGGATTAACTCAAATCCTAATTCGGTTTTCTGTGGAAATTCTCAGTGAGCTTAGTGAGCTACACCATTTAAACACAATAGGTAATGCAGAAAGTGGATATGTCATATATTCACCAATTCTGCCTTACAAATTTCATTGTGATTTTAGCATAGAACTGTGAGTATATAAGCCATGATATATTGATAAGTGTCATGAATTTCCACAGAAGCATATAAGCAGCTTGAAAGAAAAGAAAAGAAGGAGCAAGAGAAGGGGGAGAAAAAGAAAATGG